CTTTACCTTGACAGAATTAAATCAGCTTTGATAGCTGGATTGCAAATTATAGGAAAATTGAAAAATAGGTCAAATATTTCCACTTGCTGAGATAAAAATGTTTCAGACTCTTATTTTCACCGCAGGAAGCACAGAGAAAAATGATTTTTTAAATTAACAATTGGAGTTATGACATTTTCAGAAAAGGTTCCAAAAAACAAAGAGCATAAAAAATGGCATTGCAATACCAATTTGATATCTGTCAGATCTAACAATGTCAGATGGCTGAAAAGACTTTGGGAAAAGATTTTAGAGTTTGAATGAAACCAAGAGAAAACATTGAGAAAAAGCCACTGAAGACTGCACAATCTAATCCTGATTCCCCTAGTTTCAACTTTATCAGCAAGTAATTTTACTCTATTTCATTCAAGTTCTAGGAAAATAATTAAAAGCAAATATTTTATTACATGTTATCTAGGTTTTATCCAGATCATCCTATATGGCTCTCACATAATCTTGTCCTCAAATCAAGATTAGGTGCTATTAAAAAAGACTCCTCTCACAACATAAAACTGATAGATGAAATCATGCAAATACCATTAATCTACACTTTAATGATGTGTCTAATATATTTCAGTCATCACAGTCGGTGCTTTAGATGTATGAACTCTAGTCCTTGGAAGAAACACAAAGGTATTTTTTTTTACTGGTATGGAAATTGAAGCTCACAGAAGATAAAATAGGATGGACTGACAAGTATACCAATGTTACACAAAAACAGAATGGGAAAATAATATAGTATTTCATTATGCCATATTTCTCCAAAATAGAACCAAGTCTTACATTAATTTTTATTTCAAAAACACAGTAGGACTTCTTTTCAGGGGAAGTCTTATTTTTTCATACACAAAAATCTACATTTCTTCATTTATTTTTATCAGCATAACTCTCCAAAACCCAAATTCTACCCTGAATTTGTTGCAACTCCTGTAGAACCTCTGGCCCCAATCTCTCGTGTTCTTAAATGAGCAACTTTTGGCCATGTAGCCTGCTCATAGTGCATGGTTACAACACACAACATAGTGAATTATGAAGATTCACATTAGACACAAAAATGTCCATTCCATGATCAAATGTGTACATTATTAATGTGTTGTGTCAGGACTCCCAACTTGTCACTTGGCAATAAGTTTCGGGTTCATCTGTTTATATATGCACTTACCTTCTCATCCAAAGGCACCTGCTGGGACATTTACAAAGATTTAATTGTATATTGTCATTGAAGTAATGTCCATAAGATTATTTATATTTAATTAGATGTTAAAATTATCATTTTATCCAAAAAAAAAAAAAGTAGAAAAGGGGGCTGGGGATTTAGCTCAGCGGCATAAGCGCCTGCCTTGTAAGCAGGCAGCCGTGAGTTCAATCCCCCGTACCGATAAAAAGGAAAAAGACCAAAAAAAAAAAGTTATCATTCTATAATTCAGTACGTCCATTGTGTGTTGCCATGGATGTCCGAAATGCAATGGCTCATTTTTAATTGAGGTTTATTTTGGTGGTGTGGCTTTTTTTATGCATTCTGAATAATCAAGTTAGGATGTTATTTTCTAGTTAGGTCTTATTTTCGGGGAAATATGGCAGTAGTTTAGAGGCATTAATAATAGTGTTAATAATTATTAAGGACTTACAAACTATCAGACACCACGACGGGACTTAGTTTGGCTTTGTCACAATGATCATTCAGGAACTGTGGAGATGTTATTGTCTCCAATACATAAAATAGGGCACTTAATAAGACACTTGCCAAAGTCACGGCACATTAATGGTGAAAAGTAACATGGCAGCCTAGTTTCTGGGGTTTTAACCACTCAACCTATCCACAGCCTCAGATCAGATACTTAGGGTTGATGTGGTAAGTAACTAAGGCGTGTAGAAGAAAGGGACTGAGCATGATTTGTATAAGAACAAAAACCAGTGGTAGAAAAAAAAAGTGGAAACAGACTTTTGAGGACAGTGAAGGGCAATTTAATTAGAAACGAGGTCAAAAGTCAGGGTCAAAAGTCAGAAAGAGTCTTTGTAAAAAGATTAAGTGTGGTTCCTCCTCCTGTCTCTCCCTGAAGATACCAATCTCCAGGACTCTCCCTCAGTCCCCTCCTCCCACCTCCTCACCATTTATCCACAGGCTCAACACTTCCCCAGCCTTGATCACTGAATCTAAGGTGACAGTTTATAAATCTCTCAGTCCGCTCCAACTCCACAGCCACAGTGCTTCGGCTCAAACGTCTAACTCGAAGCATTTCTGTTTGGATGACAATGAGCTCAACTTGTTTGAAACAGAATTCATCTCTTCCTCACCAGTTCTTACACCCAACTCATCAGGTAACAGCTGGTAAATACACGGTTCTAATCAGCAAATTCTGAAACCTCAAACTCTTAAGATTGGATTCCAAACATTCTTTTGGACCCAACTGTAGACCTTCCTCCACCCTCTCTTACTTTACCTGTGCTTCCTCTCATCTATCTGCTGTTCTGTATTTTGTCACTTTATCCAGGCACACAGCCTGTACTTTAAACCATAAGATCGTTTTTATAAAACACAATTCTCATCAATTCCCCCATCCTGCAAAACATTCAACAGTTTCCCAGGAATTACCAAATTAAGGGAAAAAGTATTAGACTTCTCAGTTCAACTCATATTTCAAGGATTTTTCCCCCTATATGATACAAGGACAAAATGCTATGTGCTGTATTTAGAATAAGCATCTCTCTTCTTTTCCTGCTCAAGTTTGGCCTCCTAATGGGGACCTTTAGCTAGGTGTGGTGGTGCATGGCTGTAATTCCATCACTTGGGAGGCTGAGGCAGGACTGTCATGAGTTCAAGGCTAGCCTGGGTTACATTATGAGTAAATTCAAGGCCAGAGTGAACTACAAAGCAAGACCCAGTCCCAAAAAAACGAAACAAAATAAAACAAAACCCTAAGACCTCTATGTAAAATGCAAAATACTGGTAATTCAATAATTTGAAATATGAAGAAATGAACTCTCTCACACACACAGTAAAGAGGATGAGCTGTCACAATATTTTTGGAGGAATTCAAGAGAATTCTACTATGCTATGTTTAACCTCTGAAAGGAAATTCACTTCTTAAAATTTATCCTACAGGAAAACCCACACAATTACACAAGAATTATTTATAATAGCAAAATTTTAAGATACTTATGTAGTTACAAAAACAAACTATGCTATATTTATTTTTATGCTATATTTAAGTTATAGAACACCATATATCCATTAAAAAGAATGAAATAGACAATAAGGACAATAGCTATTACTCACAAAGTGCTTTCTAGGAATGAGGTTCATTCTTAAGTGTTTTGCAAGTCTTATTTCACAAAAATCTTAAGACATGAATCTGTACATATTTAAGTGGAAATATGCTCATACCACACTAAGAAATGAAAACTGCCAAAAGATGTGTAGTATGCCAAAACACATCAACAGAAAAGAAAAAAAGGAAAGAAAAAACCCCCCTATCACATGCTACTAACCGTTCTCAACAGTGGTTACCCTTTAAAAGTTTTCAGTAAGGGAAGCGGACTGGACTTCCTTTAATCCCTATTACATTACACAATATATATTTTAAAGAATGTGGTACTTTATGATTTAAAAACGTTACAAAGTACACATTACATAAAGACTGTACAGAAATACATTAAATTAATTTTCAGGTACATTGTTTTTCTTTTTCCCATTATCAAACATTCTACTTTATTTTTACTGTTTTTGTTGTTTGAGTTTTAATAAACAAACCTCTACCCTACTTGCAAGATTCAAGTAAAATGCTGCGCACTACTGTATCCCATGCAGAGTAAACTGTATGGACTTGGAAGTCAATGGAACCAAATAAAATCTGGCAGACATCACCTTAGTGAGCTTGGATAAAGGATTTATCCTCACTGTGCCTTCTCACTGGTCAGAGACACTTCCACCAATATCAAGAGCTTCCACGAGGATTAAATAAAGTAACATTTACGAAACATCTAGCACAGTGGCCACCATCAGTGAGGTCTCCCCTTAGAACTGCCTTCCTCCCTTGGAGTATTGGACACTGCTCTCTCTTGGAAACTCAATAAGCCTGGATAGTAGCTAAATTAGCTAATAAAAAATTTACCATATTTTTCTGCCCCAAGTGGTGAATTTGTCTTCTGACAAACTTCTGAATGGCTGCGAAGGCAACCTATGCATAAATATCCCTCATTCTGATTAGCAGATATCTGGAAACAGTATTGTGGCAATACTTTTCCTCACTGAATTTCAAGAGAATCTAAAGTGAATGGAGAGGTTTGAAACAGAAGGTGCAGCCCACCAAAAGAATCTACACTTGGGCTCACCATCTAATTACAACTCCCCCAGTGAGTAAAACTTTCTTCCAAAAGTCTAGCTTTGTTATCAATAAGTCAACAGACCAAATTTAAGCATCTTTCCTCCGTACTATGCAAGACTCCTCCGATTTTTTTTTTAATTCAGACACACACACACAAAAGCTAAATCTGGAAATATTCCAAATAACACATTTTCTAGTTGAAAATTTCCCTTTAGCCTTAGCACGATAACACTTAAAAGTAAGGCTCTAGGTAACGTTCACATGAGTAATGACGTCTGATACTAGGTTTGACAAAAACAGGAGTTCTTATAATTAAACTAAAACCTTAAGGGAAAAAAAAAAGCTAATTTGGTGCATGCACAAAGTCAGTTGTTTTCGAAGATCCCAGACAAGGCTCCACTCCCATCTACGCTTCCCTAGGGGCTGTGCTTGTTAGTCCCAGTGACCCGGCACATGACCACCCCAACTCGTTAGTGCGCCCCCTGCCCCGCACTCGGCGGCTCTGTAGCAGCCCGAGCTGGAAGCACCGGCCGGCTCGGCGGCACCGCCGCCTGCTCTCTGGCCAGTGGCCTCGCTGGCTTCAATTTCTGAACGCTTTGCAGAGCTTTGACCTAAAGAAAACACGAGGTGGCTTACCTTGAGCAGCGAAGTCAATCCAGCCAACTTCCGGTTTAGGTCCCACTTGTATCACTTTTCACCAGCTGGGTGGAGCCAGTTTACCCGGTAACCAGAAGGAAGCCTTTGCCTAGCTAAGCCGCAGAACTTGATTTTCAAGGCCTGCATAGTACTGTACTAGGTTTAGAACTCCATTTCTAAAAATTAAATATCTAAGTTAACAAATTAACTAAATTACCTAAAATTAATTAAATTCGGACTGTTTCACTACAAAAAACTTTTTTGCTGACTATTCATCACTTTACTGAAAAGATTCTATGTCTAATCCTTCACTCCAAAACTATTTGAAAACACATACCTTTCATTAAAAATTTAGCGAATTAACAGAATGCCCAGTTAAATTGGAATTCAATTTTGTAATATCACTATTTGTAACATATACCTACTTATTCAAAATTTAAATAGTTTTTTTAATCCAAGATGCAAATTTACACTACAAATTTTCATTGGTTGTGTATTTTAGGTAGCAACACATCTCTACAAATCAAGCCCTCTACAAACCGATTCAGTTTATTATAAAACTTTACAAAGGTCAGATTTCGTGAATGATGTAATGCAAAAGAGCTCTTTTTTTTTTTTTTTTTTTTTTTTTTTGTCTTTTTCGTTTTTATCGGTACCAGGGATCGAACTCACGACTGCCTGCTTGTAAGGCAGGCGCTTATGCCACTGAGCTAAATCCCCAGCCCCTTTTTTTTTTTTTTTTTAATACACCTTGAAATGTATGGCTTTTTTTTGAGACAGGTCTCTTTGTAGTTCAGGCTGATCTTGAACTCACTGTGGAGTTCAAGCAACTCATGACCATCCTTCTGCTTTAGCCTCGCTAGTGCTAGGATATAGGTGTGGACCATCACAACAGAATGTTATGTTTTACAGCATTCTTTTGCAAAAGAAAATTTTCAGGTTAATAAGACAATGTATCTAAAAACACCAAACACTCCACTTTCGGCCTATGAGTAAGCTGCAGACTGGAAAGTTATATGATTCACAGCTTGATGACTAACATTAGTAAATTTTCTACATCCATTTTGAAAGGAGAGAAAAAAGAACAAAAAACACTCACCATCACTTAAATTTTTCTCCTTAAGAACTTTGTCACAATTAACAAAAGGCCCTCTCCATAGGAAGTAAGTAAAGATTACCCAAAGCTGCCTTTCTAATCTAAAGCTGCTTGGAACACAAATAGTTTTAAAGGAAGTCAGAGGATGGCAGTGTTTTTCCATTCAAAGCCTTGGATAGTGAGTAGTTATCTGCAATTGCAGTTACACCCTTTCTGAGAATTGTCCCCTTGTCACTTCACATGTCAAAAGTATACCTAAAAGCCTATAAAACAGGTAATTCTCAGGATAGTTCATCATATTGTTACTTCTTGAAGCACTCTTAGGAAGCAGTCAAAATAATTAAAGGGGCTAAATAGGGAGGCCAGTTCTTGATAAAGCCTGGCTTTCCAGGCCTAACACTTCTGCCAATGCCAGCTCTCACTGTCTCTTATCACTCTGTCCCAGAAGTTCACTTGTACCCAGCTCCTTTCTCATGAGCTGCTTCTCAGTTGTGAAAGAGAAACCGAGTTTATTAAAATGCTTACTAGAGCTTGGACTCCAAGAAATCGAACTCATAGCTATCCTAGCAGATCCTATTTATGTCTCTAAATCAGCAGTTCTCAAACCTTTTGGTTTCAGAGCCTCTAAGAATCCCCCAGAAATGCTTGTTTACTGGGTGATAGTCATCAATTCTTTTTTATTAAAAATTAAAGCAGACATATTTATTCATAAATTAATGTTTAAAGGATAATAGGTTCATTACATATGAACACAGTAAACTTTTACTATTAGCGTACCTTAATGCCTGTTTGTTTGTTTGTTTGTTTGTTCTAGGAATCGAACTCAGGACCTTGTACTTGCCATGCAGGTGCTATGCCATTGAGCTATATCCCCAGCCTCCTTAATAATTTTTTTAAAAATACAAATTTAGGGCCTGCAGTTTAGCTCAGCAAGATAAGCACCTGCCTGGCAAGCGCTAGGTCACAAGTGTGATCCCCAGTACCAAAAAAACAAAAACAAAAATAAATAAAATAAAATATAAATTTAGTAAAAAGTATTTTTTTTCGCTATGTGACCCAGGTTGTCCTTGAACTCACAGTGATCTTTCTGGGCTCACAGGTGCACACTCACATGCTGGGCTTTTTTTATAAATAGTAAAAAGCATTTATTGTCAAAGGACAAAATACTCCCAACAAATTAGTTTAAAGATTTTATCTGGATTTGTTCTTGATTTCAGAACCAGGCAACACTTCACACCATAAAATACAATAAGTGTTCCAGTGTTAAAGCAAAGAGGTTGATTTTATAGACAAAAAAGAGTGTTTTGGTTTTTGTCTTTTTATTGGTACCAGGGATCGAACTCATGACTGCCTGCTTGCAAGGCAGGCGCTTACGCCGCTGAGCTAAATCCCCAGCCCCAAAGAGTTTTAAAAGGCAGAAACTAAAATAAACTGAAAAACATGTTTGTCATTTTGCAGTTACTTTCCTTGTAAAGCCCAGCTAGAGAGACAAAAATATAGGAAAATAAATGATTATCTTTTGTGTGAATTAGGTAAGATTGAAAGAACTTTATTACCATGCCAACTAGAATTGGCCTGTTTAGGAAATTTGGTTGTCATCTTTAACCTTCATTTCTCCAAAGATTAGATGTATACCTTAGTTCAGTTTGGTGATGTGGAACGATAACATGAATGACTCCATATTAATTTTAGCCTGGTCTGTGCAGGAGCTGACAAATGATTATCATCCCTTTGTAATTTTTAGTTCACAGTACTGTTGCTTAAATTTTTTGTCCCCAAAGACAGCTGGATTCTCTTATGTGTAATGATATTATATAACACATAAAATAGTCACTGAAAAATCCCACTGTATATTCATGAGAAAAGAGAATGAATAGGGAAAATAAAATACAGCAAATACAATAATTTTCATCTAACAAGCACCCGTTTGACTTAATCCAAATTGCAGTCTGTCTCTGAGTAAAAGGTATTATCTGGGACATTTCATACTCAGCAGTGAATGCTAAGGATGTGCATGTTTAGAATACTATCCAAGATCAGGAAGAAAAAAGTAGCTGACAGAATTCTAAGCCAGAACTATTAATTCAACTGAGATCCACTGTGAAGTCTGAATTAGGCCTGCCAGACCAAACTTAAAATCTCCACTATCCTATTATACTCGGTATTACCTAAATGATAGCATTCAAGCGGAATGATTCCAGTTAATTAGACCTAACCTCAAATGGGGAAATCCAAAATGCATCACTTAAAATGGACTTATTCTCACTTGACCTTAATTGTCCCCATCCCAACCAAATTCCATCCTCCATGTGCACTGCTGTCATTCCAGTTTATACCTTCATTACTCTCCACCAGACCATAGTCATCACCCACTAAGTTCTTCTAGCTTCTCTTCAACTTAATCATCCCACATCCTATGTTAAACTTTCTAAAGTATAACTCACACCTTATACAGTGGTACCTCGGTTGACCAGCTTAATTTGTTCCACGATTTTAAACAAGATGGTCATGTTTGTGTTTGTACAGGAAAAAAGACCATGTCATGTTTGTACCTAGTTTGCAAACAAAAATAAAAATTTTCAGAATGCTTTTATTTGTGAGCCAAATGTTTGCTAACAGAAGTGTTTGTGAACTAGGACAGTGGAATAGCATTCTTTGTATTTTTCTGAATGGGCCAAAGTCAGTGTTCTTCTGAAAAAATGTAATTTAAAGTACTCAATATAATGTGGCTTTCTTATAACAGACCCTAAAGACTATAGGCCACTTCTCTACCAGCTCTGGTTAGAGTCACTGTCTGTATTCAAAAACATAGCCAACATCATTATTGAAACCTGGTTTTGAATCTTTTAGATAAAATTGATCTTTTCAAAATGTTTTATTTTTCATTGCAGTGTTTTTCCCCCTTTTACAAAACCAGGTGAAGATGATCTAAAGTCCTAAAGATTTATTTCCAAAGGAAATGCATAGAAAATAGCTCTAGTCTGGGATAAAGACATAACCTTGTATTGATTCTTTTCAAGTACGGTTTTTGTTGTGACAAACTGTTCCGCTCACATAATAAGTGAACACCCTGGACCTCACTCTGACATACCAAAATCCTTCCTCTCCTCCATAATGGAATTCAAAAACATTTCAGCACACATTTCCAAAACTGTGGCAAGAAGTATGAAAAATGCTTTAATTCTCTGAGTCTCTGACTAGACAGACGACTGCCAGTAGAATGAAGCACTTCACCTTTGAAGAAAAAAAAAATACTATCAAGAGAGAAAATACAGCTCTACTCCTTCCCAGTAGAGAAGAGTATTGCTTCTTCAAGAGGACAGATAAACCCAGAAGAAGCTTGATTTAAAAAGAATCGAAAAGACACAGCAGGGGCTTGCGGTGTAGCTCTGTGTAATCAGCAAAATTAAAGGGATATAGCTCAGTGGCACAGCACCTGCTTGGCAAGTGCAAGGTCCTAAGGTCGATTCCCAGTAGCCAAAATCACTCTGAACAATCCTGTTTTGTTTTCTCAAAGAGTTGCAACCACAGCTGCATATTCTCTTAAGTCTTTGTACTAAATTCTGAGCTTTTAAATGTTTTCTTTTCTTTTTCCCTTTTTTTTTTAATCCTTTTTGTTTGCTGGTTAGTATTAGCTTGTGTAGCTTGTTTTGTTTGGGTTTGGGTTTTTATTTGGGAAGATAATTTTGTGTTTTGTTTTTTTGTTTTGTTTTGTTTTGTTTTGTTTTTTGGTACCTGGGATCAAACTTGTGACCTTGTTCTTGCCAATCAAGTGCTTACACCTCTGAGCTAAATCCCCATTGTGTTTTGGTTTTTTTTATACCAAATTAGCTCTCTCCCCACTCCCTCTCTCCCCACTCCCTCTCTCCCCCTCCCTCTCCCCTCCCTTTCTCCCCCTCCCTCTCCCCTCCCTTTCTCCCCCTCCCTCTCCCCTCCCTTTCTCCCCCTCCCTCTCCCCTCCCTCTCTCCCCTCCCTTTCTCCCTTTCTCTCCCCCTCCCCTTCCCCTCTTCCTCTTTTTCAGACAAGGTGTTTTGGTCAAGGATTGCAAGGAAAACA